GGTTATCATGCCAGCGTTCGGCACGCACCAAACACCAAATCACATCAGTCACTGTTGGCGTAACTGTGACATCCGCAGCACGGTGAGGACCGGCACCCCGTGACACTTCTGGGCGCAGAACGAGGCCCCCGGGGCGATTTGGAATTGGATTAGAGAGATAAGCTTGAAGGCGACGTGGGAAAAAAAAAATGCTTTAAGGAGATGGACACATCACCTTGACCATGGTCCGTTTGTGCCGGATGAAGGTGTGGAGGCCCAGCCACCGCAACTTCATGCAGAGCTCAAAGACGACCACCATCAGGGCGAACAGCTCCAGGGTCGCGTGGACCTGCGGTCAAAGGGTGTGTGGATGTGGCATCACCACCCCCCCGACACACCCCCCGCCACGTCCTGCCCACTGGAGACCACGCCCGACTGCCTCTTCCTCTGAGGGTGGAGATGGCGAGAGGGACTGCTCATCGGGGGTGCCGCCCACTTGGAGCCACGGTGCGGCCACCGGTCCTAAGTGGGACAACCAGGTGGTGCCCTCCCTGGACTTTAAGAGTGGACGGCATCACACAGAGACCGGAAGAAGAGCGTTCACTCCACAGGGGACCCCGGGCGAGGCCGGTGGGTCACTGCTGCTCCCAAGGCCCCTAGAACCTCCCCGGGGCCTCTGCTTTAAATCCAGTGGCAGTGTCTGCCCTTCCGGAATGTCCCCTTTCCGGCTGGCGTTAGCCCCCAGAGGGCGGTGGCTCCCGGCCGCCCGGCCACTCACGTAGATGCCGAGGCGGAGCGCGGGGACGGCGGGGGCCTCGCACAGGGACAGCAGCAGCAGAAGCAGGGCGGTGGACAGCTCCATCAGGTAGAAGAGGTGGTTGTGCGCGAAGAGGTAGGCCGCCAGCGCTCGGGCGCTCTTGGGGTGGGTGAAGAACTTGTCGTTATTCTCGCCTTCCTGAAGAGACGAGAGCCGGGTGGGTGAGCGAGCCTCGAAGGCGCGGCGCCGGGGGTGCGCCCTGGGCCGGGGAGGAAAGGAGGCACCTCGGCGGGTGAGGGAAGATTCAGACCAGAGGTGGAAGGTGACGGAAAATCATAAGTGTTATATCTTCACGAGACCGGTCGAAGGGCTTGCTGCTCCCTAAAAACCACTCGGGGGAACCAAAGAATAAAACGTCGGGGAGAAAATAAAGAGACGTGCGCACGTGTGGTCCCCTTGGAGGCCACGTGCTCACGCTCAGGAGTGTCTGCGGAATGTAAGGAGCTGGGATGAGGGGGTCTGGGGGGAACGAGCACGGGCGGCGTCCGCCTTCCCACTCCTCTCTGGGTGACACTGAGAAAGTTCCCGCACCTTCCTCAGCTGTTCACGGGATAGCGCCAGACCTTCCTCAAAGGGCTCCTGTAAGACACCTCGGACGGTGTCTGGCACACGGTAAGCTCCCCACCCCACAGACACTGGCTGTTGTTATTATGTCATAAGGACACTGAGAGAAAAGAGAAGCCCGAGGCTACCTCCTCCATCCCCCTGCTGCGCTCAGGCTGCCCCGTAGCCCCCCGCTTCCTAACTTACTGAGCCAGTCCCACCTAATGTCCTAATAAAGCCCTGCAAAACGACGGGCCTTGCTCTTGATTCCGGCACCCCGACGGTAACAGGACAGCGGCCAACCCCAACCGAGTGCCCACCAGACTGGGAGCCGTGCTCGGCCCCACGCCTGAGCCGGGGACACTCCCTCACTCCTGACGACCTCCCCTCGGGCAGGCATTAGTGTTACCCCACAACACCAGACAGAGATGAGAAAATCAAGGCGCAGGGAGCTTAGTGCCGAGTTTAGAGAGCCAGACAGTCTGACTCCACCGCCCTCGCTCTGGCGGTCACTGGCCTCCCGCTGATGACGTAGGAAATAAACCGCAGAGCCTGGAATGGTCCGCTTGGGAATACAAGCAGGTGATGTTTGTATTGCTGACAGTCCCTATTAGGGTCGGCCTTCTGGGAGGCAGGCACAGGGTAAGTAAGGGACGTCCCATCTCATTCGGCTTCATCACACTGGCAGCTGACACTTAGTGAGTATTTATTTACGTGGCTAACGGTTTACAGAAGTCACCTTGCTTCGGTGTTTCTCAACTGGGAACAATGCTGTCCCCCACCCTCCCCGCCTGGCCTGGGGACATGTTAAGGTGTCACACCTAGGGGATGCTGTTGGCATCTAGTGGGTAGACTCCAGGGATGCTGCTAAAGATTCTGCAAGGCACGAGACAGCCCCTCACAACAAAACGTTACCCCGCCCCCAAAGTCAAGGGTGCTGAGTCGAGAGAGCCTGCCTCCCTCCCTCCCAGCGCTAACACTCCGAACTGTCACGCTTCCCACTGGCTCCATTTCCTGGAGGAGGCAAGCGCAGAGCCCAAATGTAAACCTAGGTCTCCCGGCCAGAGCCTTCTGGAAGCATTCCAGCTGTCTTGGAATGCAGTCAGACCTTCAACTATCCCGACTATTCCATGCTCCTGGTCCCCATCCTCACAGACCCTTACTCCAAGGAAGGTGACTCCAGCAAAAGTTGCAGCACAGGCTAACGGGAAGAACCGTGTCTGGGGCCAAGGGTGGAACGCGGTGCCCTGGACAGAGGTCTGGTCTGGTGAGCACCCGTGGCAGTCTGAGGTGGCTTCAGCTCGCCAAGCCCGTGCCAGAGAGTTGGGAAGGTGAGGGAAACTGTCAAGTCCTCATCTAGGCCGGTGCTTGGTACACACAGTAGGTGTTTAATGAGTGCTTGGTAGGATAAACCATTCCTTCAAGAGATCGACTCTCTAGGTCTCTGCCCAGTAGCTGGGAGGTGGGGACCTCTGACTTTAGCTGTGCTTTGCGGGGTAGCTCTGAGCAAGTCACTTCCGTGAAGCTGGATACGTCACTACCCTTACTGCCAAAAAATAGAGATAAAGCACAGACCGGACAGGGGCGGGGCCCACAAAGGAAACAAACGTCCCAGCAGTCAGTCAAAGGCTGGTCAGGCCTCACTCACAGTCCTGTGATCTGTGCTGGACTGCGGCTTAAGCCACCACTGCCATGGCCGAGTGTACACACAGGGTGGCCCAGGAAGCTTCTGGTTTGGATTACTAAAAAAACACAATTCTTGGATAATTTCTTCCCACAAAGAGCTAGGAATGAAGATCTGACCAGAGGATCTGACCGCTGACATGGGGTGGGGCGTGATTTTAACGCTGGGACTTGGAATTGTCACCAAGGAGACGAAAGATGAGGTCCCCACCAACAAAGACAGAGTGAAATGTGACCCTTATCACTGGTTTCTGATCCCGACCCCAAGGAGAACTCCAGCCTTGCTTCCTGGCTGCTGCTGATCACAAACCAGATTAGGGAAAATGAAAAGGCAGGCCAGCTGTCCATGACTTCCAAGCCTTTGCTCTCTGCTCCCTGGGGCAGAAAGCCACACAGGAAACAAGAACTGTCTGGAAGGCTCAAGGTTTGCTGAGCGCATGGCTCCTGAGGGTGAGTGAGCTAACGTAACGGGTCAAATAGGAGAAGAGAAGAAACTGCCGGACCAGGTATCCTCAAAGCAACGAGGGACCCGTTACCCAAGTGCACCCCCCGATCTGGTTCAGGGGCTCAGCTGCAAAGCAGGAAAAGGAAGACCATCTGCCGGCAGCTAAACCCACCTCCGGGAACAGCCGCAAACTGCTGCCCGCAGAGATCCGAGTTCTGCTTTGACTCTTTTAAAAATGATGCATTTTTGGTAAAATCGTACTGGGACGGCAGGAACGAGCGAGGCCAATTAAGATCATACACAGGATTAAAAGGTTGTAAAGATTCCATCAGCCAAAGACAATCGCCTTTGAGAAAAATAACTTCCCAGATGTAAATGGGTATCTGTGCAAACACACACACATACACAAGTATGCGCTCCTATATGCACATATATACCTATATACGTATGTATCTGTGTGCGTGCGCACACACATATATATATATACATAAATGTTATGTAAAAATTATTACATTACAACTGCTATTCTGTAACCTCGTTTCCACAACCACAGGGCCCACTTTCAAATGGATACATGTGATTGGGTATAAAATGACACAACAATATACAGAAGAAAGAATATCCTAAGATGGATACTGTTTAAATCCGCACTGTACAACTTACTAGCTGGATGGCTTTGGACTCATTTAGCCCCTCTGAGTCTCAGTCGTTAGTCTACAAAGAGGGAGATGATCAAACCGCCTCCAAGGGTTGTTAGAAAGATTAGCAAGGGCCAGCTAAAAGTTAGATATTTTTATTACTGACATTCTCAGCTGCTTAAGGAAAGAAGGAGTACCAGGTTGTCTAGAGTCCCCCAGGGCATTCTAACTCTGGGTTCTGACCCATCCCATGCGCTTATCTAGCACCTATTCAGCCTTGGAGAAGGTGACAGGGCATAGGGTGACCCTGCCAGATCATTAACAGGTGTGCCTGGCCTTGCTAAAATGCCACTAAAACATTTCTATTGACTTAACTTGAATCGAAACACATTTGTCAAGTAGTACAACCGGAGATGACGCTGCATAAAACATAGAAGCATAGAGACAACTGAACAACCATCAACTAATTGTCTGGTTTTAATTAAATTTTTAAAAAGTAAAATAAATATGTGCAAATCTATGTATTAATCTTAAATAATGTTGACGGTGTCTGCCTTAGCCGAAAGATATTTTCACATCCCCTTTGTACCTAAGCTGATTGTAATGAGCATGTATTACTTACTTACATTTTAAAAAGTTCTTTTTCTTTTTACGAAAACAAAACAAAACAAAACAAAACAAAAAAGTACGAAATAGCAAGCATGAAAGCGGCGGCAACTTAAACAGGAGAGGAATAGAGATTCTGAGTTCCCCACACTGGGTCAGCAAACCCCTGCTACGGTATTAAGCATATGAACAAGTCCCCCCGAGAACTGGCCTCTCAGTGTGCCTCTGAGAAGAGGGAGCGAGGCAGGGAAGGCCAAGGGGACAGACTCGGGGGACCTCAGGAGCAGGTGGAGCCATATACCAGGTGTCACGTGACAAGCGCACATACATCCACCAGCCCGGGTACGGGCATGAGCATCCAGCTGAGACGCGCATGCGCGGAGCGCTGGAGCCGGAACTGAATTTCTGGGCATCCGACGGAGCCCCAGCTGCCCTACTCCACCCGCGGGCGCCGAGAAGGGCCAGGTGGTCGTGACCCGGAGATGCTCACCTGGAGGTAGATCGCTGCCTCTTGATAATTCATCTCCCAGTTGTGTGTGGTGGGGCTCGAGGGGAAACTGTCACCCTCTGAGCTCAGACTGGGGGCCTGGGAATCGTGGACGGCGTAGCTGCCTCCATCTGCGTTGGAAGAGGAGAGAGAGAGTCACTTACGACCCGGGCTTAGGAGAATAAAGACACCGTTCGCCAGAAGAAAATGCTGGCAGTCGCCTCACGTGCTCATACCTGCGTCCGGCTGCCTACAAGTCAGTGCTCCATCCCACGTACTGGGACAGCGAGCACAAGCGAGGCCAATTAAAAATATTTTCCTTTCTCTTGTTAAGTGAAAAAAAAGCAAGTGCGAAAGAGCACACAGAGTCTGCTATCTTGTGTGTTAAAAGTGGGCGGGAATAAGAAAACACACGGCTCTCCACTTATCTCTACAAAAAGAAACGGGAAGGATAAATCAGAACCCGATGAAACTGGCTACCCACGAGAGGGGTAGGGAGCGGGGTGGAAGTGTCACTCAACGGGAGCGACCTTTTTGTTTACTGTTGACTTTTGGAAGCATGGAGATAGTCTACTTAAGTCTAAAAAAGGAAAATGCTTGGATTTGTTCCTTGGCGCAGGGTCGTCTGCTGCTGTTACCCGCTGACACCCATGCCCTCCTTTCCACTGCCCCATCTGCCTTTGGAGAACGTGCTTTGGCGCCGGCAGGCGTGTGCCAGCCCTGGCTCCAGGCAGGTGACCCAGGAGAGCTACTCGCCTCCCCTGGACAAGGATGGCTGAAACTGGGCCTTTCCCTGGGCCGGTTAGGAAGGAGGGGCTCTCTCCCTGTTGACGCTGAGGGCCGCCTCTGCCACCACGTGGGGAAAGCCTACCCCAGAAGGACGCCGACGGATAACAAAACAGTGACACAGGGAACCCGAGTTTGCAACCTCGGGACCAAGCTATGCCCGAAATCTTAGTGTTTCCCAAATCTGAGCCCATAAAGATCCCGTTTACACTCAAGCCTGTGTGCGAGCTGGGTTTGTCACAACACTCAGGTGTCTCTAGGGATACGTAGTCAGCAATGGCACCGATGAAAGGCCCTCAGCTTGTAAACGTATTGGGAAGAGCATTTAGGATGAGATTTCGGTTCCCCATAATCCGCGCTCTAAATGAGCCACTTATCGGGGGGTGAAGAATCACGTTTCGAACCTATCGCGTGGCAGATTTTATTTTCCGCAGAGGGTCACAGCATTCTCTTTCGTCCTCCACGCCTTCTAGAATCGTGCCTCTTTCCTACAAAGAGGCAGAGCCTGTGTCTCCTCCTCCAAGGGGCCAGCCTTTGCGACTGCTTTAACCGATAGGGGACGGAGGGCATAACGCTTATGACTTCCGAGGCTAGGTCATCAAAATGCTTCCGCCTTTTTCTCCTGCGACCCCTGCTCTTGGAACCCAGCCACCATGTTGAAGAAGCCCACGCAGCTGGTGGAGAGGCCTGCGAGAAGATTCGAGGTCCTGTAGCCACTGCCCAGCTGAGGTCCCAGCTGACGGCCAGCACCGAACTGTCAATCAGTCGAACGAGCCATCTCAAAAACATATGCTGCAGCCCCAGTTGAGTGTCCAAGCTGACACTGTGGGGAGCAGAGATGCTGTCCCTTCACTACCACCACCCCCCCTCCCACCCGCCGCACCGAACTGTAGATTCACAAGCAAAGTAAATGATGCTGTTCTCGTAAGGCACTATGTTGTGGGGTGGTTTGTTAAACAGCAACAGATATCTGATATCTAAGTACTTTATACCAGTCGACCTATTTCATTCTCACGAGAGTCCTTTGGAGAGGTAATATTATGATTGCCACTTCAGTCTTGGGGAAACGAAGGTGCAGACAGGCTGGGGACCTCCCGAGGTTGTGCAGCTAATGAGAAGCAGGGCTGGGAGACCAACCTGGGCTGCTCAGCTCCGATGCAGGAGTCTGTGTGCCTCTCAAGAGGGGGAAAGACAAACGGGTGACAGGGTACTGCGGAAAGGGCCGAAAGCTCAGCAGCGGCTCCATCACTGAGCTGGAGCTACAGGCAGCAGGTGGGACATCCGGCTGCAACTTGCACTTGATAATGCTGGCCCTTCTCTACCCAACACCAACACTTCCCCGCTCTGATCCCGGGGCCCATTTCTGAAGGAACGAAGCCCCAGGCAGAGAGAGGAAATCTGAGCGGCCACAGGCCGGCAGCTGGACAGTGCTGCGATCTCGTGTGCCCACGCCCCGTCCTCTGCCACCTTCACACGCCATGACAGAAGCTGGTGTCTGAGACACAGCAGTCCTAGGTAAAATAAATAACGGTGTGGGTGCGGGGTAGGCAGTGACGAGCTGGCACAGATGGCAGTGGACATCGGCGCCTTCCCCGGCTCTTACTGTTCCCTCCGCCCTACCCAGGATCTCTAAGGCTGGTCTTTCCACCTCTCAGGTGTCCACCCAAACACTGTCCTCTCAGAGGCTGCCTCTGGCTTCCCCCCGGAAGTCACCTCACCCTCACACTCAGTTCTCCTCCTGGGGCTGTATTGCCCTCTGGCAGGGCGTTTATTTACCTATGGGCCCGTTTACTGCCTGTTTCCTTGCCTGAAATGTCAGCTTCAAGAGCTCAGGGATTTTTGTCTTGTTCACCGAGGTGTCCCCAGAGCTCAGAAGAGCGCTGGGCATGACATACAAAGTGTTCCACAAATATATCTGAATGGAAGTAAAAAGCGAAGCTCTTGCCCTAAAAATCCCAGAAGCATACTCCCATGGGACTCTTAAAGATGGCCAGTGTCTGGAGGGGAGGGCAGAGCAGGAGGGGCCACTAGCAGGGCTTGGTGGCAGATCCCACCTGGAGTGCAGGGGGGGTGCCCGAGGGCATTCAGAAGGGGTGTGACATGATCTCTGTATTTTCTAAAGATCATTCTTTTAAAGATTTGTTGAAGAGGGACTGTTCTGTATAAAAGTAATTCTGGGCAGAGCCTTAAAAGGAAAAATGGAATATGACTCAACTGCTGGTGGGGGAAGGGTAGGAGAATGGAGACTTCTCCCCTCCAGGGTGGACTTTGTTCTGGCTTCTAACTATTCTACCTTGCACTCGCTCAGAACACAGGCCTTGGCTTGGTTACTAGGTCCCAAAAGGCAAAGCCCAATAGCTTGTTGGTGACTCTTACATGGGGGGAGGGCTCAAAGGCCCTAGATGACAAGGGCCACTGAGGGGCTTTTCGAGAAAGCCACAGGTAATTTCCAAGAGCCCCCTTCACACCGGCCTGAGTGGCTCATTTAGGGATTATAGAGAGGGCCCTTGGGGGGCCAGGAGCCAAGGTCCTTCCCTGCCTTTCATGGGCAGTGAGGCGTGAGGCGGCGGCGGCAGACTTAGGCCAAGTCCAGAAGCACTGTGAGTGCATCGCAAGAGGTGGGGGCGGGGGTGCCGGTGGGGTCCAGTCAGGTGGGCTCCAGTCCCATTCTGTGTGCCGGCCCGGCCCTCACACTGCTGATTAGCAGAGACCGAGTAAGAATCGACACATGCGACATAGGACTTTGGCACCGTCCTCGCCCAGGGCAGGCCGGGTGCTTCCGGGAGAGCTGGGAAGGCAAGGTGGAGGCGTACCGCCAGGGCCCGGCAGGAGGAGACCGGACGACCTCACCACGGGGCTGTCAGGGAGCTGGCCCTCCGCTGCTTCTTCCAGGAGGATGATGGCTGGTCCTCGCCTTGGCACGGCCGCCTTCCCAGGCGGCAGCTGGGTCGGGAACGGAGGGAAGAAGGGAAATAGACGAGCAGCGGGCAGGAGGGTGTGAGAGGCCATTTTCCTGGCTCTCACAGTTAGCCAGCTTCTGCCCTCCCAGGAGGGTTCAGAAGGCCCGAGGAAGCCTACCGGGAACGTTCTTGGCAACCAAGATCCCACTCTGCATCTCTGGGTACAAGTTCCCCAAAGGGAAACATCTCGTTCTGCCCTTCTGTGCCTTAGGCAGAGCGCATGCGTGTGAAAACCGGCCTGCAGGCCTCCGACGCTAAAGATTGATTGAACACCGTGTACCTCTTAACTACCCTCCCTGAATCCTGGCGATCAGCCCCGGAAGGAGGTGAACGAAAATCACTGGCAGGAGGAGGAACTGAAAGAAACCCCTGAACTGACCCGCAGGCACTAGAATACAAAAACAATAACAGAAACGCTGCCTCAAAGCACGAGCGAAGTTCCCCATCCAGAGGACAGGCAGACAAATCAGGATGACCTGTTTGCACAGATGGTAACGCTTCCTCCATGCTGATGTAACAGGGCCCAGACGCTCCCTGCAAAACAGCTGGCTGCTTTGCATGCAGCCTCGGAAACAGCCCTGCGGGGAGGCCACATTTCCCCTTCGCTGGAGCACAGCATGCAGCAGTGATCCTGGTGGTGCTGGGTAAATAGAAGCAGTTTCCATATGCCAGCCATAAAGCTGCACCGGGGAGGAGAGGGGAAGCACAGGCAGAGGGGAAGGCCTCTGTGACCCCGCTCCCATCCAGCCGAGGAGGGTCTGCTGAGCTGGATCAACCGCTGGGTCCTTCCTTTGGGTGTGGGGCAAGAGGTTGCTCTGGATTTTAAAAGGCCCATGAGCTCCTTGGGTGAGGCGGCTCAGATCAGAAAGAATACGAGGCAGTGACTGTTACGGGAAGGTTTATACTGAGGACCCTCCACCCAGTGCGGCCCTCACTCCTTAATTCTCATTCTCTTCTGTGTACACGATCTCACGCCTTCTCCACACACACACACACCCACCCACCCACACACACACACACACACACATGCTGCACATCCTCTTCGAGACAAAAGTAGCCCTGGTCCCCCAAGTTCACCCCTAGCTGTGACCCTCCCCTCCCCCATTCACGGTCTTCATCCCCAGAGCCTTCATCCACGAACTGGGACCAGTGCCAACCGTGCTCCGGGCATCGCAGACACAAATGCCGGAATCCGCAAAGCACTCAGAGCCCCCCGGAAACCCGTGCCCACCAGAACGACAACGAGCAATCGCCCAACCGTTCACCAGTTGTCACTGAGAGCCCCACTCCATGGGAAAAAAGCTTGAAGAGGAAAATAAACCAGAGTGACACTGATGAGTTTTCCAGGCGTGGCGTCGTCACACTGCTTTCATGCCGGCTGGCTC